GACCCATGGCCACTTCTATAGCCTGATGCAGATTTAGAAATCCAAGGGGCTGGGATGTTCTGAGTAGAGCACAGGACTGCATGTGTGTGGCCCTGAGTTCAGTAGAGGGAGGGAGGAAGGAAAAGAAGAAAGAAGGAAGAGAGGGAGGGAGGGAGGGAGGGAGGGAAAGAGACAGTACAGTGGGTAGGTTGTTTGCCTAGCATTTGGCCAACTCCTGGCACCACATACTCAAGAACCCCGAGGAATGATCCCTGAACACAGAGCCAGGAGTTAGCACTAAGCACCCCAGATGTGCCACCCCCGCAAAAAAAAAAGCAAAACCAAAACAAGATGAAAGGAAAGAAAGAAAAGAGTCAGCTATCAGATGGACCAGGTGTCAACTTGTCACTTCTGCAACCTTCAGGAAGACAAGATGTGGTGGGCATACCCAGATGAAAGCTCTGCATGCTGGAGGGAGTGATTCTGGAAGTAGATTAGGGGTTGAGTTCTGCATCCCCTGCCCAGTTCTGGGCCACATGTCAGACTTTCTGGTCTTTAAACCCTTCTGACGTGACATACTAATAACCATGATCACCTTATAAGGCTTTTGTGAGCATCCGAGGAGGTAATGACTCGCACTTAGCACGGGGCTGGGTATGCAGTCAGCCTTTAACCCTGTCCGTTCTCTGAGCTCCACCCTCTTCCACCCCATACTCTGTGGAAAGTCACTCCCTTCACCCTCTGCACCCACATGGCCAGTGCCAGACCTTGGGTCATGAGAGAACTCAGGGCAGTCTGAAAGAGGGTAGCTGTTAAGCCATGAGGCCTGCAGGGGCTCTAGGCAGCCCAACGGGTAAGAGTGAGCAATCCAGCCAGGGACGGAAGGGCTTGTGGTTACAAGCATCAGAGTGATTCAGCGCCCAGAGGAAATCATGAGAGGCCTGTCTGTCTGCACCCAGGGCCTCCTTTGAAATGCCGTCCAAGGGCTGGGACACCCCGAGCAGGCCCCCTGGCCACCGCAGATGAAGGAAAGATGTGCAGAAACCGTCTGAGTAGGCAAAAGGACAACTAGCTGCCACTCACCCAAATCCAGCCATGAAGCACTCAAGGTCCACATCCAGCCGGGGCTCAGACACACCTGTTCCTGGAGAGGGGGAGGACTGATGAGGAACAGGAACAGGGAGTCCGTGTGGCTGATCCCTAGACCTCCCTGGGCACGTCGTCCTGGGTCTACAGAAATAGAGTGAGCAGGGAAATGTGAGCCCACTGGAGAGCTGGAAATGAGGAGGCAAGGACACAGCACCTGCCTGGGGCCAGTCTCCCTGCTCTAGGCTGAGCCAAGTCAGAAATCTACTCTCTGACCTCTGACTCCGAGTGTAAGAAGCAGGACCTTAACGCTAGTCTATGAAAGGAGCAGGGTGGGTGGGGGAGGGCAGTGAAGAGACCTACCTATTGAGTACCTACTGTGTGCTGTTGTCTCAGCAGCAAAAGAATGCTATGAGACAGTGGGAGTCAACCACTCTTTACAGAAAAGGAGGCTGAGCCTTAAGGACTCTCAGGGTAGGCTAGAGTGATAGTACAGTATATGAAGTCCTTTCCTTGCACACAGTCGACCCAGGCTTGATCCCCAGCACCACTTAGCCAGGAGTAAGCCCTGAGCACAGAGCCAGGAGTAAGCCCTGAGCACAGCTGGGGGAGGCTGCAAAACCTACATAAATAATGAAACTCCTAACTGTTGTTTTTGTTGGACACAAAGAGTGTTGATATTTGGCTGTCTGGATTTGAATGCAGGCTTGGTCCTCATTGGCTGTGTCATTCTTGCTAGGTCGCTACCTCCATTTCCTTCCCTTTTAAAAGGAGTAAGAAGTGGCCAAAGATGGGGCCTGAGAGATAGTACCAGTGGGTTGGGTACTTGTCTTATACACGGCTGACCTGGGTTTGATCCCAGCATCCCATTCGGTCCCTTGAGTACCACCAGGAGTCATTCCTGAGTGCTGAGCCAGGAGTAGCCCCTGAGCATTGCTGGGTGTGGCTCCAAACTAAAAATAAATAAATAAGTAAAATTTTAACTGGCCAAAGATATCCTGCCAGGAATGATTCCTGAGTGCAGAGCCAGGAGTAAGCCCTGAGCACAGCTGGGTGTGGCCCACAAGCCATAATTTTTTTATTGAAAAAAATTAAATCAGGGCTTAAAAGTGACCAAAGAGACAGTACAGGGGTTAGGAAATTTGCCTTGTATGCACCTGACCTAGGTTTAATCCCCAGCACCACATATGGTCCTCCTAGCACTGTCAAGGCTGACCTCTGAGTGCAGAGCCAGAAGTAAGCCCTTAGCACCACTAGGTGTGCCCCCCCACACACAAAAATAATAATATAAAACAGGAGTAAAACTACATCATAACGCTGTCAGATAACCAGTTTATTCACAAATGCCAGGTGCTCAGACAAGGTACTGCTACAGAGTAAGAACACAGGAGGTTAGGAGGTCTTGGCTCTTTCAAATTATGTCAAGCAGAGATTTCACTGTATCACTGTCATCCTATTGTTCATCGATTGCCTTGAGCAGGCCCCAGTAACATCACCTTCATCCTAGCCCTGAGATTTTAAAAAGTGCCACATTTGAGGCTCTTTCAGGGTCAGGAGAATGAGACCCATCATTGTTACTGGTTTTTGGCGTATTGAATATGCCACGGGGAGTTTGCCAGACTCTGTCGTGTGGGCAGGATACTTTTGGTAGCCTGCCAGGTTCTCTAGAGTAAGAACTAAATAATAAGATGTCGCATGGCCACAAATGCGGCTGCGCGCTTCCGGGAGCAGGGTTTTATAGTCTCTGGGTCTTGGTCATTGATGGGATTACACTGCGCAGGGGGCAGTTGGTGGGTGTAACGCCTACATACTGGAAGACGGGGGATCTGGGTGGAGGAGGCCCCAGTCCCGATCCGAGCAGGCTTGGAGATTTACACCCTGGGTCCCAGACACCTGGGTTTTTCTGCAGGTTCCTTAATGCATGAGGCTCGTCAGAAAGTGTGGAGAGTGGTCTTAAGCATGGCTGTGGCTGGAACTGGAGGTCTTCAGCTGCCGGGGCTCTGCTCGGGGTGGGGAGGGAAACTCAACCAACCCTCCTCCAAGGGGCCCCGGTGAGGACAGCCAGGTGCTGAGTCAGAGATTTAGCCATGAATAAAAAAACAAAGCCCCTGTGTCCGGGGAGGCAGTAAAGGGGTTCGTGTGCATGCCTATGTGCACGGAGCCTCTCCATAGCCCCCAGCATCACATCTCCCATCCCCAGCCTTACTGGACAAAGCCCTGGAGGTCCCACAGCACTGCTGGGTGTGGCCCTGTGGTCCTTGGCATGAGAGCAGCAAAGCAGCACCCCATGACTGGGTCCTTGAATTCATCTCAGCTAACTAGAATTCCAAGGAATGGCCCCACTGGTCCCATGAGTGCCTTTCAGGAAAACTCCTCAAAAACAAAACCAAAAAAAACCAAACCCACAAGCGACCCCAGCTTTACCTGTGCGTAGCAACTTCTTTGCTGACTCTCAGCCCCTTTCTCTCATCCCTGAACAGACCTCTCTAGCCATCCCCTCTCCCCAGGAGTCTCTGAGGGTTGCAAATCCCAGAGAGAGGATTTAACCTGCTCATCCCCTGGACTTCAGATAGCAGGTACCTGTGTCCCAAGGGGATGGGGAGGAGAATCACAAGTAAAACCAGCATCTGTCACTCAGTAGTCAGGTAGCTATTAGGGCCAGAGTTGCAGTCCATACCTGGAATGCATGGGAGAACTGGCATTGCCCTGTCCTCAGGGCACCTACAGGCAGGCAGCAGCCACAACAATAATAAACAGGCAAGTAGTTCACTTTGAAAGGGAACCTGGCCTGGAGGGTGTCTTGGGACCCCTGATTCAGAGATGGGAGAAGGCCAGCAGGAGCCAGCTTCCCAGCCGGGGAGAAACAGAGTCAACCCTGAGCTGTTGGGTGGACCCAGTCCAGAGACGAGAGAGTCTCTTTGAGCACCTGAATCTCTTCTACTCTGGGCGCTGAGGTTATTTCCAGAGCTGATTTGTTGTCTCTTGTTTTGCAAACAGCACGGGCGCGCCTCCTCCTCCTCCTCCCTCCCCCACCCAGATTGAGGCTATTTATTCCTAGTGACAAGCCTGAGGCTCCCAGGGGGGTTGGCCTCAAGGACCCTGAGGGGCCTCGTGTCCCTGGCAGAAGCTGGCTTTTCCTGGGTGGGCATGGGGAAACTGCAGAATTGAAGGGAGGAGAGATTCCTCCACTTCCCCCCACCCCCATAGGGCCCCACCCAAGCACTCCCCAGCCCCTCCCGTAAAGCTCTAAAGTCGTGGGGCCAAGGATCAGGGTCTCCCCTAGTCCTAGTCCTCAAAGGTCACAGCTATTCCTGGGTACCCAGGACCTACTTCTCCATCCCAAGATGCAGCTGGAGGTGAAGAGGTGGTTATTTCTGGCTCTGCCCCCTCAGACTTGTAAAATAAAGTCAGGAATTATAGGGAGGTCCCCGTGTTTCCAGAAACTGCCCTGGTCCTTCAAAGTCACTCCTACTCCAGGTTGCATTGACGTCTCTTTCACAAATGCAGGCTGACTGCGTGACCTCAGTGGGTAACTGGGAGCTCCTGGAGGTAGACCAAGAAGGGATGGGACTCCAGACCCCCAAAGGAACCCTGGTGGACCAGGCCCTGTACCCCTCGCCTGGGATTGAACTCAGCAGCCACAGAGCCTAAAGCTGGGGGACCAGAGGGGCTGGCGGGGCGGGTGGGGGCCGCTGGGAGAGAGGGACCGCAAGGGGGGGGGGCGCGGGGGGGCAGGGGCGGGGTCCTGGACACCCGAGAAGGTTAGGAGGGCCAGGTTAGGCCGGGCAGGAGGAGGGGGCCTGCGGCAGGCCCCGGTGTAAACGGGAGGTGGGGGCGGGGTCTGGCCCCCAGCCTCCGGGCTGGGGGGCCGGGGGCGGGGTCCGGGCGGGGCGGGCCCCCGCGCTCACTTCCTCGGGGAGGGGTTGGGGCCGCGCTCCCACTCGCCCACACAGTCCGTCTGCAGCCGGCAGCGTCGCGGGCAGCGCGCTCAGCCCCGGCTCGGCCCGGCCCCCAGGTAGGACCACCGAGGCAAGCGGCCCCGCGCCCGGCCCCCGGCGCCCGCCGCCGCCCACCGAGCTTGGGGCAGTCGCCGCACCCCACCCCCGCCGGGTCCCGGCGCCCCCCACACGGTCCTGCTCCAGGCCGCCCGGCGGGGCGGGGCCGCGGCGACAGTTCCAGGTTTGAAACAGTAAAACCGGAGTGGAGCGGGAGGCGGGAGCGCGAGCGGGGGCCGCTTGGAGAAACTGAGGCTCCCAGGAGCGGGCGAGCCGGCAAAGTCCCCGGGAGGCGGCGGGGGCAGAGCCGGGACTCCCTGGGGGACTGGCCCGGCTGGGACGGGGCTTTGGAAGGAAAGCTGCCCGGCGCCTCGAGCACGGTGTAGGACCCCCGGGAGCCCGCGGTGCCCCCACCACCACCCCCACCCCCACCCCAGGTCCGGCGTCTTCGGCCTCGCGGTGAGTGAGCGCGCCCCGGCGGGGCTGGGCTGGGGCTCCCGGGCGCGCGGGAGCTGGGCGTGGGTGGGTGCCGTGGAGACACCCGCGCGGCCGAGACGCGGGCTCGGCCGGCCAGAGGCAGCCCTGGGCAGAGCCACACCGCGAACAGCAGAGGTGCGGAGGCGGAGATCGGAGCCGGGGCAGACACCCCGAGCACCGAGCCAAGGAGGCGCCGGCCCGGGACGCTGGGAAGCAGGGATGGGGGGAAGTGGAAACTCTGGACCAGCCCAGCCCCCCGAGGCCAAGGCCCGAAGACAGTCAGGGTGAGAGGGAGAAGGCGCCCCAAGCAGACTCCAAGGCAGCCCCAACTTATTTTTAAACTCCAATCTTGGATTCTGTGCGCTAGCCCTGGGGGACCCGGGGTGAATGAACTGTTCCTCTCCTCCTCTCCCAGCAGCTGCTGGACTGTGCTCCCCACCCCACCCCCCTTCCCCTAAACTGCTCAGCTCCCCTGCCAGGTCCTGCGGGGAGGGGAGAGTTTGGGGTTGGTGTGTGTGTGTGTGGGGGGGGGGATGGAGTTCAGTTTCTCCCCTTAAATCTCCTGTCATCTCCCGGAGCCGGGGGAGGGATCTGTTCTGATCTTGACTCACAGCTGTGGGGCTTGGCCAGGATCCTCCTGGACTTTGGGGCTGGGGTAGGGGGAGGGCCAGAAGGGTTGAGCGGTTGGCATGGGTCACTGGAAAGCTTTCGGTGTCTTCCCCTCACAGGCCTGGCAGCTGTGGACAAGAGCCCGGTTCGAGTGCTAGTGATGTCACCCAGCAGCTCCTGTCCCCTTCTCTTAAACACCACCATCCCCTCGCCACCCCTGCAGCCAGTCTAGGGAAGAGAGGAGAAGAAAGACCTTGGACATAGGGGCCCTTGCTGAGCCAGGGGACCTTGGCCGCAGTACCCCTTTCCTGGAAATGGGGGCTGCTCCCCTGCCTTTTGTGAGCTCTGCTGAGAGTGGGCGGGGCGTGCAGGAGAGGGGGCTATACCTGCACAGGAGCCCCCCAAGCCCAGCGCTTTCCATGACTGGTGCTTCCTCCGTTAGGTTCCAGCTCTGTTCTCGTCCCGGCCCACACTGAGAATGTCCAGGTCAAATCCTTGACCCAGGCTGCCTGAGAAACTTGCCTGATGAGTGCAGGGCCAGAACTCAAATCCCAAGTAGCTACCCTGGGCTGAGTGCTGCCCACCTGCTGGGGCTTTCCAAGGAACCCCCCCCTCCCCCTGGAAACCTGACAGTGCTCCTGGGAACAGCAGTGGTGGCAGAAGGTGGGAAAAGGGCTCTGGGAACCCAAGTGCCTCCCCCAGGATCACCCAGAAAGTCAGTGGAGGCTGGGATTCAGACTCAGGGTTTAGATTCCACAGTCACGTTTACACACCTCACTGGCCACAGCCATCCTGAGCTTCTGGAAGGACGGGGGGAGGGCCTGATAGGGGTGTCTGGGCCAGGGTTTGAGGAAATGCTGAGGACTGGCCGGCTCCCTTGGGAAAAGGGAGGTCGGGGCAGAGACAGGTGTGCCAAACCTTTACTCATTCTCCCTGGGGCCTAGCTGGACACACTAGACAGCGAGGGATTCTGGGAAGGAGCTAGAAGGCCAGAAACCCCTAATCTACTCCCAGGGGTGGAGCCAGGGCTCCTCTGGACCTGAAAGGTGTCTGCTACTGCCCAATCAGGCGGGAAGGAAGAGACCCCAGTGCTCTCCATTCGCCATCCTCCACCTCTGTGGCCCCCTGGTGGCCAACAGATATTGGCCCAGAAGAACCTTGGGCCTGAGGGGCCCAAAGGGGACGAAATAGGAGCATAGCCCACATCCCAGAAGTCCCACTCTGAAGACCCCAGCTTCCGGTGCCTCCTGCCTGGGCCTGGGGCAGGAACTGAACAGGAAGGGAAGCTCTGAGCTCCGCATGGTCCCTTGGGAGGCAGAGCCGGCCAGGCACGGGCCTCCAGGCAGGGCTCTTCTGGCGCCTGCAGTCTGAAGGCCAGGCCAGAGTGGTGCTGGCTGGCAGTGTTTCCTGCTGAGGGTGGCCGAGAAAAGTTTTCCTTTCACTGGAGCCAGTGCCAGTTACTGGGTCTGAGGGGGAAGTGACGATGGGGACATCCCCTCACCCCCACCCCCCACTGCCTCATCTTCAGCTGGGAGAACATCCTCTTCCTATGGGTGCTGGTGGTTCCCCCCCCCCAGCCTACTGGGGACCCCAGGCGGTTCAGGGCAGGCTTCCCAAAGGAGCAGGATGGGGCTGACAGCTCTGCACTAAGAGACTGAAATTGGGGTTTGTAGAAGGGACTGGGAACCCCACTTCCCCCCTTCTCCCCCCCAACACACACGCACTCCCCATGCTCCTGTTCCAGAGGCAGCTGTGTGCATGACCTCATCCCGCAAACATGCTTTGTTCCTGAGAAAATGGAAAGTGTCTGAGGTTTGGTGGGGGCTGGTGTCTGCAGCAGCAGCTCGCAGGGTTCCCTCTCGCCTGACTCCCCACCCAAGAAGGGGCCTGATGGGGGGAAAACTGTCCTCAGTGGCTTCCCACTTGCTGACTCTTAACTCCCGACGCCCCAGACCTCTTAGGAGGGGACGCCCTGCTGGGGAGAGGCCATCTCCCCCAGGCAGGGGGAGGGACTTTCTAGTTCTTGACCCAGGGATGGGATAATCTTGGGGCTCCTGCCCGAGGCTGCCCAGGCAGGAGATGGGGACTGGGGCGGGGTGGGGGTGGGGGGCACTCAGCCTAGTTCTGCCCGCAGTGCACCTCTGCCTCCTTCAGCAGCTCACTTCCCTTCTTTCTCGCCTTGATGGCAGACCCTCACATCTGGCCATCTGTGCCGCCACAGCTGCTGCAGATGTTGCAGGTCATGGCTGCCCAAGCTGGTGTGACCGGAGACACGGCAGAGAAGGCTGAGGGCAAAGGGTCCAGCTGGGGAAGTTTGGCTGTGTCCAGCTTGTAAGGCTTCCTTCCTGTTCAGACCCAGGCTGAGCCTCTGAAATTGTTGGTGGAGGATTCTTGGGGGTGGGATGGGGGTGGGGGCTGGCAGTTACGGCCTCACATTATTCCTGCAACTCCACCACTCCTCTTCCAGGAACCCTTTCTACGTTCCCATTTCCTGGAAGGGGTGTGGGAGGGGACACCAGGAAGAGCCCATTCCCATCCCTTTAAGAGCTCCACTTGAGAGAGAGAGAAAGAGAAACAGGAGAGAGAGAGGAGAGAGAGAGAGAGACAGAGAGAGACAGAGAGAGAGAGACAGAGAGAGGAGGAGGAGGAAGAGGAGGAGGAGGAGAAAAGTGCCTGCCATAGTGGCGGGCTGGGGTGGGGGGGTTGACACAAGGGGAGGAGGGAAACTGGGAACATGGGTGCTGGGAACTGTACACTGGTAAAGGGGGTGGGTGTGGGAACAATATAGGACTGAAACTCAATCATGAACAACCTTGTAACTGTGTATCTATCAATCAACTAAAAAAATTCTTTTTTAAAATCTCAACTTTAGGGGGCTGGAGCAATAGTACAGTGGGTAAGGGCTCTTGCCCTGTATGTGGCCGACTCAAGTTCTATCCGCGGCATCCTATGTGGTTCTCCCCCAGCCCATGAGAAGTGATTCTTGAGGAGTGCAGAGCCAGGAGTAACCCCTGCGCACAGCTGGGTGTGGCCCAAAACCCCAAAAATTTCAACTGTACTTATTTTGGTTTTGAGGCCAAACTAGTGGCTTGGGGTACTATTTGGTGCCAGGCATCAGACCTGGACCTCCCACATGGCAATGCATACACTCAGCCTGTCTCTGTGAACCCCCCCTCAAGATTCCCCACTTTAGCAGTTTCGGGTAGAAGGTCTCTTCCTGGGAGTCAGGAGGGTGTGGGGGTGCTGTTCAGAGGAGGGGGGTGCTCCCAGCTCCTGCTCTTGCCCCCTGGGGACAGTCAGGGCAGTGGAGGCTAAATTCAGGCTGGAGCAGGAAGTGAGTCACTGACCCAGGAAAGCCCTCTTCCCCCCGGATCTGCCAGGGCCCAGATAAGAAAACAACTTCTGCTTCCTGGTTCTTTTTTCTGACCCTGCTCCCACCCTGCTGTTCAATACAGAAATCCAGGGCTCCTGTGTCCGTTTTCTACCTGCTCTGAAAGGGCATTTCCTGGGTTTTTTCCTCTGTCCTTTGAACACAAAAGACTCTGGTGAAGCCCGCAGCCTGCCTAGGTGATGCCACCCCACCTTGTGCCTCTAACAGGGTCCTTCGCAGCTACCATGAGTGAAGCCTTTGACTGTGCAAAATGCAGCGAGTCCCTGTATGGCCGCAAGTACATCCAGACGGACAGCGGCCCTTACTGCGTGCCCTGCTATGACAGCACCTTCGCCAACACCTGCGCTGAGTGCCAGAAGCTTATCGGTCATGACTCCAGGGTAAGGACGGCTCCAAGCAGGGCTGGCCGTGGGGGATGACTGGTGGGGGAGCCCAGGTGCCAATCCCCCTGCTGTGTGCCCCCCCAGGAGCTGTTCTACGAAGATCGTCACTTCCACGAGGACTGTTTCCGCTGCTGCCGCTGCCAGCGCTCCCTCGCAGACGAGCCCTTCACCTGCCAGGACAGCGAGCTGCTCTGCAATGACTGTTACTGCAGCGCCTTCTCCTCGAAGTGCTCCGCGTGTGGCGAGACCGTCATGCCCGGTACACGGCCTGAAGCTCGGCGTGTGTGTGCCGCTGGCCTGCCCCGCATCCCGGAAGGGTTCTCACTAGAAATTCCCTCCCCCTGCCTAGGGGAGATGGCCTCTCCCCAGCACGCCCCCTTCCAAGAGGTCTGGGGCCTCAGGAGTTCAGAGTCAGCGAGGTGTGACACAGACCTAGAAGCCTGGGAAGGGAAAGACCTGCACGTGGAGTTCATCCCCAGAGTCCAGCAGGATCTGTGGTTCTGCATCATCTAGGGAGCTTGGCATGGACATGCACCAGTACCCCCAGGAACACTCACAAAAGTTTATCCTGTGCCAGATCACAGCTCGGGACATTCCCGAGGACTTAGTATGCACTGGCGAAGGAGGTCTGGTTGACCTGCTGGGCTCACGGGGTGCAGGCAGGCTGACACATCCCTGAAGTATGTCAGAAGCGTTGCGTGACTAGTTGCATGCTAAAGTATGCTGAGTCTGGTGTGCATGGTACCTTGGGGCTTAGCATGTGCTGCAACCAGTAAACAGAAGGCATCCCAGGTCTGGCCACCTGCATGCCTCAAGTATATGCGGTCTCGAAGAAGATGTGCAGTCCGGCTTGATTAGGCTATAGGAGTGCTTAGTTTGGCATGATTTGGATCAGTTGTGTCCAGTGCATTGGACTTGCTTGGGTCGCGTCAGGTCTTCGTGTGTTGAAGTCATGACTGGTGGATAAGGTGCATGAGGGCTTAGCATCTACGGGGACTTGCGCTTGTGTCGTGGAGGTTTCCAGATGCTGAGGCCCACCTCTCTGGTATAGAGGTGGTTCTTCATTTCTGCGAAACTCTCCTGTCCAGCTGAGGGGCCTGGCACATGTTCAGCCATCCTGTTGTGTGCTTGAAGGGCGTGAGCCTGTACAGCCAAGGTGGTGAGAGGCTGGCTGTGTGTGTACACAAACACTTTTTTTTTTGCTTTTTTTTGGGGGGGGGTCACACCCGGCAAGGCACAGGAGTTACTCCTGGCTCATGCACTCAGGAATTACTCCTGGCGGTGCTCAGGGGACCATATGGGATGCTGGGAATCGAACCCGGGTCGGTTGCCTGCAAGGCAAACGCCCTACCCGCTGTACTATCGCTCCAGCCCCACGAACACCTTCTTGCTCAGGACATGGGGACTTTCCTTCCATCTGGGGTGGCCCTCGAAGCTGGGGACAGAGCCTCTAAACGGGCTCCCCATTTCCCACAGGGACCCGGAAGCTGGAGTATGGAGGCCAGACGTGGCATGAGCAGTGCTTCCTGTGCAGTGGCTGCGAGCAGCCGTTGGGCTCCCGTTCCTTTGTGCCCGACAAGGGTGCTCACTACTGCGTGCCCTGCTATGAGAACAAGTTTGCGCCTCGCTGCGCCCGCTGCAGCAAGGTGGGACTGGGCAATGACGGGGGCGGGGGGGTTCTCCCTGCACTGGTGGGCAGGCGGGAGTAAGGTACTGTGGTAGGGTAGCACCCCCTTCCAAGAGCTAACAGAGACTGTCCTGCAGACGCTGACACAGGGAGGCGTGACATACCGCGACCAACCCTGGCACCGAGAATGCCTGGTGTGCACCGGGTGCCAGACGCCCCTGGCGGGGCAGCAGTTCACCTCACAGGGTGACGATCCCTACTGTGTCACCTGCTTTGGAGACCTCTTTGCACCCAAATGCTGCAGCTGCAAGCGCCCCATCACAGGTAGGTCCAGGTCGAAGAACGGAGTGGGTGGGGTGGGGCACAGGACCACTCAAGAGCAGCGTTTCCAACCAAGATATTTCATGGGGACACGGGTGAAAATGCATGGTGGGGGCGGCGGGGGTGGGGGGAACCATGGTAAAGCGCCACAGGAAAGGAAGAAGGCCAGAGGGATGACGGGCTGGTAGGGGTTGAGAAATGCTCCCCTGGACCCTCAGCTAATCTCGTCTCCCCACAGGACTTGGGGGCGGCAAGTATGTGTCCTTCGAAGACCGCCACTGGCACCACAGTTGCTTCTCCTGCGCCCGCTGTTCTACATCCCTGGTGGGCCAAGGCTTTGTGCCCGATGGTGACCAAGTGCTGTGCCAGGGCTGCAGCCAGGCAGGGCCCTGAGTGTGGGCCCTGGCACCAGCCCCAGCTCCAGGACTAAGGGTCCTTTCCTAAACCACCTCTGGGACCCAGCCCCTGTCCAAATTGGGGCTCAACTTGGGTTCTAGGATTCAACCTCCCCACTCCCAGCAACTGCCAACTGGTACTTCCTGACCCAGGAACCCCCACCCCCAACCCCACCCATAGCCCTAGTGGAGTAGAGCCTCCATGACAAATCTGGTAACCTTTAACCCCAGAACTGGCCCTCTTTCCCTAGAGGCTGGGTTTCTAAGTCATGCTCCCACCCCAATTCAGGGCTTGAGACCCCAGCCTCCAGACCTGGACTCTGGGACCCAGGCCCCCTTCATCTAGATTTGGCTCCAGACACTTTAGGTCAACACTGTGTGCCTGTTGGTCCCCCAAAGTGGACGGTTCTGGCCCGGGATGTGGCTCAGTGGTCAAGTACATGCCTTGGGCCTGTGAGGTGTTGAATTCAATCCTTGGCACCATGTTTTGTTTTGTTTAAAAGTGGACTATCATGAAAGTTGACTCTCCCCACTCCATCCCACTTCATCCCAGGGCTGGGTAGATCAAGGCTTCACTGGCCAAGGAGCCCTGGGGGTGCTCCCAGCCAGCCCTGCCCTTTCAGTGTTTTCTCATTTCATTTCCGCTCCAGTTTGCCCAGAGATGGGCAGAGGGGTGGGACTGGCGTAGCCCCTTCAGGATTCTGCAATAAAGCAGTGAAGAAGCCCGGGCCTCCTGCGTTCATCCGGGGGGTGGGAAGGGAAGGAAGAGGCCTGCGCGCCCGGAGGCGCTTCCAGCCCTGGTGCCGGGCGGCCAGGGGGGCGGGGTGACCGCTGGCCGGCCGCAGGGTGGGGAATCTCCCCCGAGGAGATCCCCGCGCCGCCCGCTGGCGGAGGAAGGGAGGGGTTGGGGTGCCCGTGCGTTCCCGGCCGCTCCACCTCGCTACACCCACCCCAAAACACACGCACACCCCCCACCGTAATCCCGCAGCGCACCCACAGCAAATCCCCAGTCTGGGCCCGGACCCTCGGCCCCTGCCCCCTCTTCCCCGGGATTAGAGGAGGCGGCCCGGGATCCGCTCGCGGCCGCACGTTTTTCGCCAAAAAAGGCAAGGATGCAGCTGCACGCGCCGCGGGAACATCTGGATCCGATTCCCGGCTCGGATGGGTCACGGCCCCGCCCCCGGGCCCCCCTCCCCGAGAGTCAGGGCGGGGGCGGGAGGGAGCGAGGGGGGCTGTCCCCCGAAGTGGGGCGATGGGGCGGAGCGCGGCCCCCGCCGGGGTCCGACAGCGGCCGGGGAGCGCCCGCGGGACCCCCGCAGCCTCCGGGGGGCGGGCTGGGGGCGGGCCCGGCAGTTTTTTCCGTTTCTCCGGGGTAGGGACCGCTCTTTGTCAGCTTCCCCGAGGCCTGTATAGGTGGTCGTGGCCGAGCCGGGATCCCACGCCGCTTCTCACCGCTCACCGGGCCCAGCTGGGGTCCTGAACCTGCTTGACGTTTTCGAATGTCAAAAAAGCCCTTAGGAATGCCCGCCCCGTGTGCGTGTAATGAGGAGTTCCGCAGGCACAGTTTCATCGCTAGGACCCGCACCTGCCTGGCTCACCCCTTCATTTTCAGCTCCCAGCACTTAACTACATGTTCAGTGAAGACTTGTTGAGTAAGAGGAGTCCAAGCAGAGAACAGAGCTGGCGGAAAGGCCCGGGGACCTGGGGAAAACATGGTGCTTGGGGGGAAGCAGCAAGTGATTTTAATTGGGAGGAAATTCCAAAGAGACTAAATGGTAGGCAGACCCGGCAAACTAAAGGCCAGGTTAAACAGACCTCACCCTTTGGGGAAAACAGCAGTGGAAATGTTTGAGCCGGGGTGTGAAATGATCACTCTTGCTACATTATGAATAATGGATGAGAGGGGAAAGATGAGCAGATGGAGAGAGGGCCTGAGACAGGGTCCGGGTGAGCGGTAATGAGGCAGGTGGCAGCAGGAGTGGAAAAGAGGAGAGGTGGGAGAGAGAGTACAGCAGGTCGGGCACTTGCACTCACCAACCCCCCCCCCCCCACCCAGGTTCATTCCCAGTCACCGTCTATGGTCCTCTGAACCTCAGTAGAAGTGAAATCTGAAGGCCGAGCTAGGAGTAAGCCCAGAGCGCCGCCCCCCTCGAAAAAGACAGGAACAGGTGTCTGGGTTGTTGGAGAGAATTGGTTTAAGGGGCAGGTATTTGAGAAAGGGCTCGGGGGAAACGCAGGTGAATGTTGTTTGCTTAAAGGGATCCACCTGTAAGGAATAAATGTGCAGGTACAATACCAGGCAACTAAACATTTTTCAGATTTGACATCTCAGAAACCCAGATGCATTGTATAATTTAAAAAAATGTGACAACTTTGTTGCATTTTATTGTTGGTAATGGAACATAATGGTGGGGTCAGTGTATATGCTTGTGTATGTGTGAAGTAAAATAGTTTCATTGAGGGTTGAGGGAAGATACTAATTCTAAGGAGAATGTAAGAATCTTCATTCAGGGAGGAATGAAAGGCAACAATATGAAGGAACATTGTCCTTAGAAAGAATAGAAAGAGCTATGCTTGGAACATCACGTTTCACTCAAATGAGAGAACGAATCCGGAGTTCTGATATCCGTCGACGATCAAGGATCAGGGACGCTGTCTCATTTGCCAAGGTGTCGAAAATCAGATGGGCTGGTCACGTAATGAGATTTAAAGACGACCGTTGGACTAGAGCTGTTACTGATTGGATTCCACGGGATGTCAAGAGACCGCGTGGCCGCCCACCTACCAGATGGTCAGACTTCTTCGTCAAGATCATGAACGATCGGTTTGAGGCCCTTCATGTTCCCGGAGCGAACAGATGCCATTGGGCTACACTAGCACGCGACAGGGACAAATGGAGACGTTACTGGCGCCCGCTCGAGCAAATCGACGACTAACGGGAAGTTAAGTGATTAAGTGTGATTGTCCTTAGAATATGGGTAACCCAGAGTGGAGTGGTAAAGAAGAAAGGACAGCACCCAGGGTGGCCAGTACAGGGGTCCCCATATAGTGGCATTTCATATTCTATGAAATACAGTAGATACCACCCACAAAGCTGCCCATTGTGGGGCTGGAGCTATAGCACAGCGGGTGGGGCGTTTGCCTTGCATGCAGCCCACCCAGGTTCAATTCCTCTGCCCCTCTCAGAGAGCCCGGCAAGCTACGGAGAGTATCTCACCCGCACGGCAAAGCCTGGCAAGCTTCCTGTGATGTATTTGGTATGCCAAAAATAGTAACAACGAGTCTCACGGTTTGTTGTGAAACGTTACTGGTGCCCACTTGAGCAAATCGATGAATGGGAGGACAGTGCTACAGTGCTACAGATTTCTTTACTCAGCAGGATGTACTCTTGGCTTGTCCACATTATAGTGTTTCTTTATTGCTGGATAATATTCTGTTGTATGGGTATACCACATTTTGTTCATTTATTTATGTTTGTTCATTTATTTATGTTTGTTCATTTATTTATGTTTACAGATTGGGTTCTGATAAGAACCCAGAACCCAGAACCCAGAACTCAGAACTTTTTTTTTATGACATCTTATTGTCTCATTCCTACTTTGGACAAACTTGCAGGCTATCGAATGTAGCCTGCCCACAGGGCAGAGTCTGGCAAACTCCCCGTGGCGTGCCAAATATGCCAAATGCCAGTAACAATGATGGGTCTCATTCTCCTAAAGAGCCTTGAATATAATCTCAGGGCTAGGATGAAAGAGACGTTACTGGGGCCTGCTCGAGGCAATCGACGAATAACAGGATGATGAAATGAAAAATGAAAAACAGATTGGGATCCAGCTTTTGTTGATTGTGAATAACAGTAATACTGTTATGGAGAGGTGCACATATAGATTCACTTTTTTGATAGATGTATGGCATTTCACTGTCTGGATATACTCCCATTTTGGGTGGGATGCATTTTGGGGGCCTACCTCAGTAGTACTCAGTGCTACTCCTGGCTCTGTGCTCCAGGTCACTCATGGTGGTGCTTAGGGACCATGTGACTCTGGGGACACAACCTAGGTCTGACACAAGCAAGGCAAGTACCTAAGCCCTATACTCTCTCCATCCCTGGCTGTACCATATTACAACCAGTCTTGCATTTGTGAATTTCTTTTAAATAAACAACAGTGCATTCTCTATCTTGGTGGTTTACCATTGTCTCTATCTGAGAAGAAGCCCATGTTCTTTCTCTCTGTCTCTCTGTCTGTCTCTCTGTCTGTCTGTCTGTCTGTCTCTCTCTCTCTCTCTCCATATTTCCTTACGCAAGACTGTTACACTTAGGCCAGAGTGACAGTACAGTGCATAGGGCTCTTGTCTTGCACATGACAGAACTGAGTTTGATCCCTGCTACTACATATGGTCCTCCCAGCATCACTGAGAGTGATCCCTGATCACAGAGCCAGGAGTAAGCCTCGAGCACCTCTGGCTGTGACCCAAATCAAAACAAACTAAAAGTTTCACTTCAAAATGAATGAACCAACAAGGAACTGGAGACGTAGCCCAGCTGCAGAGCTCTTTCCTCGCCTGTGTGAGACTCTCTGATGGATTTCAGGCACAAGCAACAACAACAACATCCATTGTCACCCAGGCCCATTTTCCTGACGAGGACACAGAGATCCAGCAGGGAAGAAACATTCTTAGAGGTCACACTGATAACTAGGCCCTCGAGTTCCGGTGTCCCAGTTCCCATTCCTGCCCTTCAGCTCCTCATCAGTTCACACCCAGTGTCCCTGCGTTCCAGCCGACGCCGGAAACCGGAGGAAGCAGCGCGCTTAAACCTCGCATTCCGGGGATTTCTGGATGCCCCCTAGAGGCACCTGCAAAGCGCTCCGCCTCCCGCCGCAGCCACACCCCCGACCGGCAGGGGGCACTGTGGGCGCTCGGCGCGCGCGGCACAGGTGCGCCCCTCTCCTCGGGTCCCCGAGGCACTTCCGGTTCCCGAGGCGCCCGGGTGCAGCCGGACGGGCAGCGCGGGGACGCAGGCGCGCGAGGCGGCAGGCGCTGCTTCCGGCCGTGTCGGCGCTCGGCCTGGAGGTGCGGGGGGCGGAGGGACGATGGAGACCATCCTGGAGCAGCAGCGGCGGTACCATGAGGAGAAGGAGCGGCTCATGGACGTCATGGCCAAGGAGATGCTCACCAAGAAGTCCACGGTGAGTGCGCCCGGGCGGCAGCCGCGGCCGGGCCCCGCTCCCGGCGTTCGAGCCCCGGGCGCCGCCTGCGACCCTCGGCCCCTCGCGGCACCCCGCCGCGCCCCCCGCGCCCCCCTGCGACTCCCTCTTGCGCTTCCAGGCGCGGGACCCTCCCCGGCCCCGGGCCCCGCACCCCGGAGGCCCGGGAGGCGGCCTGGTCCGGCGGGTTAGCTCCGCCCCCCGGCGGCCTGTCCCGCTCCCGAGCCGCGGCTAACGGCGCCTCCTCTCTCTCCGCCTGCAGCTCCGCGACCAGATCAATTCTGACCACCGCACCCGGGCCATGCAAGATGTGAGTGCCCCCTTCCGCTGCTCCTGGGGTTCGGGGTGAGCTGGTGAAGGGAGGGCAGGCGGGGTGGGGTGCGCAGCTGGGGTCCAGAGAGCACTGGATAGACCGTGGGGGCAAACTCCCTGTCCTCGAGCTTTTGGCACGGGAACTCATTCATTCTGGGTTCGAAAAATCGTCCCTGCTCCGTAGCAAACTGCGCCCCAGGCCCGT